TTTTGGAACTCATGGTTTTAGGCCATTGTACTAGGTTTTCACTCCCCCCATTCCTTAAGCCGCTAAGAGACCTGTTCACGTCTGCTGGAACCTGTTCATGTCCGCTGGAACCTGTTCACGTCCGCTGGAACCTGTTCTCTTGTGTCTCAGTTGCCGTCTTCAGAGCATATTTTGACTTCCATTTTTAAGAATTTATGTTAACTTATCAAGTATTTTCTTTACCTACAAAGCCAAATAAAGGGCTTTTCTCCTTTGGTTTATGAATACAGCTGATGGCATGAGATGCCATCTCAGATGTGCAGGGATAAAAATCTATTTAGCCCATTTTCATTGTTCACTAGACCTACTTCTGGGTGAAACTGGCTCTCCCTACCCCCGCCCTGAACAGTTAAGTTTTCTCTTGATTCTTTCAATTGATCAGCATGAACATAAGCTTAAAGTACCCTAAATAGAAAACGATAACCTTGGAATGCACTTATGCCTTCCTTTTTTCACACTTTGTCTCCCATGGCAACCATCCATGCCCTTTGCTTCCTGTTGTTGTTGTAGTAAGTGTTCATGGATAAGTCAGGAGGGCCTCACATTAGAGCTAAGGATGGAGCCCATGAGGAATGTTTTTTGTCTTTATAGTATGGTGTCTGTTATAGTGGCTGTGATGGTTTTATGAGTGTATATAATTACCAGAATTCTGCATAAGTATGCTGACAATCTTGTTGTCAGAGGTTTCTGTCCTGCCCGGTTCCCGCAATCATTAAGTCCCCCAAAAAATCACACAGAGGTCTACATTATTTATAAACTGATTGTCCCATTAGCTCAGACTTCTTATTAACTTTTATAAGTTATATTAGCCCATTATTCTTGTCTATGCTAGCCACGTGGCTCGGTACCTTATTCAGTGAGGCAGTCACATCTTACTTCTTCTGTGGCTGGGTCACGACTGCAGAATGCGTCCTCTTACCAGAATTCTCCTGTTCTCATTGTCCCTCCTCCACTTTCTGCCTGGTTGCCCCACCTATACTTCCTGCCTGGCTCCTGGCCAATCAGCGTTTATTTAAAATATAATTGACAGGATACAGACTATTGTCCCACAGCACAATCTAAGTACCCTTAACCTCTGCACCATCTCCGCAGCCCCAGTTCTTACATCTTCTAAGGTCTGATACGAGAGTGCTTTGCTCGCCTTCTCCCCAATGAGCACTGGTTAAGGTAGGATGCTGATGCTGAAGCTGAATTTCTTGGTCCTGTACAGCATCATCAGGTCTCTCTGCTGCTTGCCTTTAAGCAACTGGCTGTGAGCACACATATCCTTTAAATTGCTTAGTGTTAATTTACCCCTTTGATCTTCTTTCAGTGTGAATGCTTGTGGTTTTTTATTTTTATTTTTTTTTCACTTCCTTGAAGTTTCATCTTTTCCATTCTTTCTGTTTCCTTCTGGAACTCCTTTTAGGTGATATATTATAATTTTTAGCCCTCTCACATAATTTCCATCTTTCTTCCCATGTAGAATGCCTTGGTAGAATTTCTTCTTCCTTTGTGATTGTTTGAATAACAATGCTTTTAAGGTATCTCTGGAGTGAGATATCCTAATGACTGTTTCTGGACAGTTGGTTAAGTTTTGTTGTTATGTTTTTCTAAAGAAGCTGTCCAGCATGTCTGCCCACAGAATTGGTTTAGCTGGAATTTTTCAAGAACACTTATGAAAGTAGCTTGTGGAAACATTTCTGTTAAATATCAAAAAATAAGATAAATCTAGGCAAGTCCACTTATCATATGCCTCCTGTGTGTGCTGTCTATTGTAAATGACAAACTATCTAAAGTGTTTTATATTTATTTTATATCAATTTAAAGTTAATTTTTGTTTAGTTGTTGTTTATTGGATAGTGCTTACAACTGTGCAAGCCCAAACCTTATGCTTGCTACTGGGCACTTCAGTCTTACACGGGTAATGTTTATCCTGGAAATAGTTTTGTTAACAGAGCAGCTGGTCTCGTTTTCATCATTCCCAAGGGCCTTAACTTATTTCATTAATATATGTGTATATGCCCATATATCTTTTATGTGAAGTGATATGTTAAAAGCATGAAAAATCTTGTCACTTCTTTTTGCTGTTTTATGATGGACTATAAGATTTAGAACCACGTGGCGGTCTATTTCCTGTTGCTATTGCAACATCCCTAAGGCCGGACACCTCTAAAGAAAAGAGGTGTAGTTGACTCACTGTTCTAGAGTTGAAAGTGCAAAACCAAGTGGCCTTATTGGCTTGGCCTTGGTGATGGTGCCACTTGGGTTGTATGTGGCTTCACCATGGTGAAAGTGCACACAAGAAGGATAGGGCACATGGTGAAACCGTAAGCCAGGCTGGCTTTTTCATAAGGACTTACTCTAATGGGAACTGGGTAGGTGTCCTATAGAATCCCACTAATCCTTCCCAAGGGCAACAAGACAACAGTTATTGCTAAATTGCCAGTGTAAGGTGCACCAAGACATCCAAAGACATGACTTTCTCAGCTGTGTTTAAATGAGGATGGAATAAGGGATCAGCAGGAACCAGGCATTGCCAGCAAGCCAAATATTTGTCCATCAAGAGGTGTTTGGTGAGTCCGAGGCATCAGCCACCTAGTTTGGTAATGAAGCTGAGTTGGGTTGCAGCCAACCCCATTCATTATCTGCTCCTGCTTTCAAGCAGTAGTGGATATTGATGTAATTAGGACCAAAAGTATAAAACTGTAGTAGGAGCTACTTCTTGCCTGGCACTTGGTGGAAAATGACTCTGATTTGTATTGCCTACTGTATCACCCTCCATTGCGCTGTTAGGAAAATGACTCACTGCTGTGTGAACACAGTGGTCAGGTGCACATGTCCTCCCTCAGGTGACTTCCCCAAGGTCACACTATTTCAGATGTCAGCAATAAGCCAACATCTTATAGAATTTTCAAGCTAGGATCAGAATGACACTTTGCTATGAAGACTTGCAATATAGAAAGAAACAGCCCTTGTGTATTATTTCACAGCCCTTAACACATACAAGCTTCTCACTCCTCTCTGGTCTACTCTACCGATAGCCACTTACTTGTCGTGCACAGTTTCAAATCGAGCTCTCTGTTCCAGGTTGTCTGTCACTTGCAGGTTACCATGCCTGGATCAAACAGACAGAATAGAATAAGCTCCTGTCACTGGGGAATGGGAAAGGTGCGGTCCTTAGCAAAAAGACTACAGGCAGAACACTTTCCCAGAAAAAGAACAGCAGGAGATGTGAGGAAAAGTTAATCAAGCACTACCGAAGTATAAGTCAGAAAGTAAAGACAAGGGTTGATTGAGGGTGACTGGGAAGACCTAGTAAAGACAAGTGATGGAGGAAGGTCATTGGTTAACTAATAAAGAAACTGCTTGGCCTGATAGGTTAGAACATAGGTGGGTGGAGTAAACAGAACACAATGCTGGGAGGAAGAGGAAGTGAGCAGAGATGCCAAGCCTCTCCACTCCAGGGTAGATGTGATGAAGCTCTGACCCAAGATGGACAGAGGCTAGAATCTCCCTGGTAAGGCACCACCTTGTGGTGCCACACACATTAATAGAAATGGGCCAAGCAGTGTTTATATGAATATAGTTTTTGTGTTGTTATTTTGGGACATAAGCTAGCCAGGCAGCCGGGAGCCAGGCGGCAGGAAGGCAGCCTGCAGCTCCTTCAACAGACAAGGGTTGACAGAGGCTGACTGGGAAGACCTAGATGCCTCTGGAGTCTTCCCTGCTTAAGCTTTCCATGTGGGTCAGGTGACTTAGGTTTTGAGTGCAAACATCAACCATAGGTGTAAACAAGTCTCGGCTGTTCTGGTCCTTGCACATACAAGCTTAATATATGAACTACAGTTGGAAGGGAAGGCTAATGCCAGAGCCACGTGGAACACTGGGTCAAGACTGCACAGAAACATGGCATTGCCCACACACCTCTATATCTTGTTTTATGTCCCAATAAATATTAGTTTTTTTTCCTTTTAAGAATGATACATTATCATTATACAGGATGACAAGATGGCTGGGTAGGTGACGCTACTTGCTGTCAAGCCTGATGACCTAAGTTTGATCGCAGAAACCCAAGTGGTAGAAAGAGACAGGGAACCCTACAATTTGTTCCCTGACTTCCAAACATGCACTATGGCATGTGCATAGTGCATGCATAGACACACACACAGATGCACACACACACAGAGACACATACACAGAAACACACAGATATACTTGTAGACACACAGACATACGCACACAGATATGCACAGACACACATAGGTATACACACAATGTAAAAGTAAGGCTAATAATCTGTGCATAATTTACAGCAGATATTTATACATTAGGAAGCATCTTAAAGTATAAAAATCAAGATAATTAATTGTGATAAATTATATTATTTTAACCAAAGATATTAACATTTTTATCGGCAAGTTCAATTAATATGTATCAATTTTAAGTCTAGGAAGACTGTCTACATTTGGTGTATTTTGAGTTTGAATATTTTAATGAAATGGAGTTCAGTGGGCATGTTTTACCATCACTTTGATTTAGTAAATAAACATAATTTTGTTATTTAGGAAATGTGTAGATGTTCCAATTAACTATTTTGAAGAGCAGATCTAAGATCTATTTGAAGCCTGCAGATGTAGCTGTTACTGTAAATTAGATCATCACCTGGTGGCTATTTGAGTCTATGTATTTGGATGTCTCTAACTCTAATTGCTATGGCCCTGAAGTCTGTTAGATCTGGGACACATCTAGGAAGACAGGGTTTTGGTCTTTGGATTCAACAAACCTGGTCTCTAGATTGGGCAGTCATGAGGCCAGATCAGGTTTCCCAAATGCTCTCAGGACTGTTTGATGTGATATGTGTGTTAAGGAGCATCTCCTTCGGGAAGTAGATGCTCCATAAACACCAGGTTTTTCCCTCTTTGTCCGCTAGTTGACCGCGTGTGTTTTGATTGTCATCCTTTACCCTGGTTGTGTTCCAGAAGGCGTTCTGCATGGATGGCAGCTGGAAGCCCATCGCCATAGCCAGCTCTTCACCACTTAAGCAATTACCTGGGCATTAAGTAATGAAAATTTTGGTAAGGAAAAAGCAGACAAAAATAGCATATTTCTTAAAAGGTCACCCTCATCTCAACTGGGTTTTATAATAAATGGTATGATTATTCTCTAAACGACTCTGGCTTGGACAGACATCTGTTTTCCCATGGTTTGTCTTTATTTTAAAGATAAGTAATGTGCGTTTTTGAACAAGACTAACAGTCGGCCCGTTCTCTCCATGTCATTGATAATGTATTATTTTACTTGGCTCAGCCTCTCTTGTTCTCCAAGTGTCTATTTACCACAGAAGTTATGCCTTTGAGGGCAAGGTCTGGTGTTATGCATCTTTTCAGCAGAGACTAAATAGAACACAGTCTTCTGGTGGCTGAGCTATTGGCTGACATTATTCTCTGTAACTATAAAAAGCTTTGAAAATACTAAGGAGTCAGGTCAAAGAATCAATTCTGGGTTTGTCTCAGACAAACAAGTTTCTAATTACCCAGGAAAAGCTTTTATGTCATGGCTGTTTTAATGGGAAAGGATAAGCTTCTTGAGGGTCTCATCACTCCGTAGCCCTGGGTAGCCTGGAATTCACAATATAGACCAGGTTCGACCTCACAGGATTTCATGTCCTCTCTCTCTAGTTCCAGGGTCGATGGCATGCACTATCTGGCCCAAATACCTTTACTGGTTTCATTTCTATCCAGTTTTTCTCCATGTGATAATAATATGCTTTGATTTCCACATACTTGCATGAACTTAATGTACAATTAGTTGCTTGCTATTGGTTCGCATTCTTAATCTGGACTGCATGTACTGTGTGGTCTGTTAAAAGGAGAGACAGTGAGAGGAATTCCGTGATGACAGAATTGCTGACTGGTCCTAAGGATGTGTGTGTCAATTGCTGAGAATGTCATTTTATCATTGACCTTCAGCTGGAGAAATATCTGCTGGAGAGTCTGGAGATTAGAGTAAAGCAGAAGATTCACTGAACTTTCACTGTTTCTGTTAAAGATTATTGATTGTGAAAAGGCAGCGCTACAATTTTGCACCTAAAATACGACAAAATGCAGTCTTACATGTTTGTACTAGAGATATTTCACCATATCATCTGCAATTATGTTTTCCAGAAACCATATATGAGGAATACATCCATCTCGTGCTACTTGTGTTTCCTGCTAAACAGTCATTTCCTAACTGAGGCTGGCATTCATGTCTTCATTTTGGGGTAATTTCCTCTTTAATTATAACTGTTACTATGTCAACAGCATGATTATTTGTCCTTGAATTTCTTCCTGTTGGAAAGTCACTGTGTTCGGTTTCCTAGTGTAGAGGTCTTCACCATTCAGGGCTGGACATGCCAGTGACTATGGAGATGCTTAGGGAACTTAACTAACCAAGGATTTCTGCACCTTGGCAGTATTCCATGTGTATATTCTATTCCCCAAAGCAACCAAGCTTATTGCTATAAATATCCCATTTACTGATATCATGCATGTGAATTGTTCCCCTAAAACAGACTCTCATTGGCATACATTGTTCATGACCCTTCTGAGAACAACTGTTTCCTGAGGCTTTATGAATCACTTCACCATCACTTCATCAATGTGTCTTTTATTCTGGATGTTAAATTTCAGTTTTAACCAAAGAGAATAAATTTGTGATCATCCATCTTATTATTAAGTCTTCAGTGACTCTGTACTAGTCCTAGAATCAGAATAGTGTGAGCACAGTGAAAGAGGCATGGTTACCATGCTGTAAGGGACATTTCCCCTCACAATTGTCACAGGGAAAAGATCAGTGCTTAAGGTTTTACACTTACTAGCTCCCAAACTCTCATGGAACTTGTACTTCAAGAACATTTATTGAGCATGCCGCACATCCGATGCTCTTCCTGTTTCACTGTGACCAACTGCGTGCGGTTACTTACAAACGATCTAATTAGCCTTCCTCTAATCCTCAAGGTTGGACAGTCCTCCTCGAATTAGCTCAGAGTACCAAAGGTGTTCTGTATGTTTGATGTTTCTATTCACCCACTGAGCGGTTGAGTGCAGAGACAGAAAAAGCCCGGGCTTTTCCCCCTAGTGGGAATATAAATGAACTTGGCCATGCTCTTGCTTAGATCCTCAGTCAGACAACAGCATCCTCTCTCAAACGCCTGTCTTTGTGCTCTCTTCCAGCTGTGTCAGTGTAGGTCTCCCTAAAACAGAGGCCAACTGGAGGGATGTACTGAGTGATCTAGAATATATTGAGTCTCTTATTAAAGTGAGTATTCATTTTCCTTTTCTTTTTGTTTAAAGTTCATATTTGATATCTCTTATTTGTAAAGTGATTTTTATTCTGAGAATTCCATACATGAATAGAGTAAAATATGATCATTTCTACTCCCCATTTCGCTCCTCTTAAGTTCCTCTCTTCTATCTTTCCACTGTGTCCATGCCCTACGCTGTATATTTTTTTCTTGATTTTTCATGACCCACTAAGTCCAATTAGTGTTGCCGTATGTACATGGCTACGTGGCCATCCACAGGAACATAGGAAAATAAGGGTGAAAATGCCATCAAAAGAGAATAATTCTCCCTCCCCCAGCAGCTACTAAGTACCAGCAGGTACCATGGGAGCAGAACCAGGAGAGCACTTCCCCATCTCCGTGGTCATCTTGGCAGACTAGATCTTGTACAGGGAGCAATGCACTCTGAGTTCATGCACGTGGCAGCCACATCACATCCAGAAGACAGTGTTTCACTGTACTCTTCCTCACCCTCTGGCTTTCAGATTTCTCTGCCTCCTTTTCATCAGCATCACTCTGAGCTTTGGCAGGACAGGCTGCCAAGGTATGGCTGATAAAGTTATCTCATTTAGTGCAGAGTAATCGATTTCTTCTTGGTAGCACTTTGACTAATTATGCCTCAGCACTGGTTGCTTCCCACTGGAAAAAAAAAAAGAAGTCTCTGTGGTCAAGACTGGTAGGATACCAGGCCTGTGAATACAACCATAGATATATAGAAGGTAATTGGATAGTATGGCCATTAAGAAAATATCAGTAGCAGGTTCTACCCTAAGGTGTATGACCTACCAGCCATGGGCTTTTGATCAAGATTTTAGTTCTAGGCATGAGGTTTCTTAAAATCTGTTAGTTATCCAAAATAGTCTTGCCACCGCCATATCTTGTATGGCTGCTTGCTATTGTGATATGTAGGAGTCAGTGCGGGAAAGATAGTTGATGTCATTTTCCCCCAGAAGAACATATGATGGCTATAAGGTATGTGTCTCTTATGTTTTGCTATAAGCTCCCATGAAATAATACCATTTGAAATAATGATACTTGTAAGAAACACATGAACTTTGCAAAACCTCCTAAAGCATTTCTTTCAAGTTTGAATTATTGTGAAAACTTATACCTTTATTAAGTTAAGAGCCTGTGGCTAGACAGGCCCTAGACTCTGGTGAAGAACTTGTTACTTTCATTCTGCTAAATGTATAGCATGAAAATGACTCCTAATGACTTATCATTAAACCCATAGAGTAGCGCATTCCCCAACCCTCATTGGAGAAGCTTCTTTTGTGGTAAATGGTGATTACTACAGAGATCCACAACTGGTCAAGGAATAGAGAGTGAGAGACAACAGAATGCTCAGCCCTAAACACAACATCTATATGATGCATTCTCTTCCCTGTGGGATTCTTTGAAGAAGAGTTATTGGAAAAATTGTAGGAGTCCGAGGCAGAAAAATGACTATGAGGAAACAATGTTTTTCAACACAACAGAGCAGCTATCCATATGTACTGATAGCAGTTATGATAGCATCCTCGAGATTCACACAATCTCAAGCCAAATAAAATTCTAGCCGTTATGATAGCATCCTCAAGACCCACATAATCTCAAGCCAAATAAAATCCCAGCCAGAAGGGCAGAGGTTGGCATGAAGTTCACTCCACTCCAAGGAAATACTAGCAATTAGTAGTCTCTGAGAGCGGGAGAACGGGTTTTCTTTAGGGGTAGGCCCTGGAGAGTCATCCAGCTCCAGTGCAGGGTCTCACACCTAGCAACAGTATATGGGCGGCACTTCATGGGTAAAGGAAAAAGGAAAGAAAAGACAAAGACACAAAGCTGGGTGGAGAGGAAAGGGGTGTGGACATGGAGGGAGTTAAAAGAAGAGTAAATTTCAAAAAAAGTGTACAAAATTTTCAAGGAATTAGTCAATGCAATTTCTAAGTAATATAACTAAGGAGCTCCATTCCTCATAAATCAGAAATGCTCCCTCCTTATCTGGAAAGCAGATTCCATGAAGGGGATCCAACATGACATTAGCTCTGGAATCAGATACCATTTCTGGGCATTGTAGATTTTCTTCTCCTGCCTAGAGACAACAAGTGTCCTAGGAGCAGGCTCTACTGAAGCTATTCAGGAAAGTCAGGAATATCATTCTAACTGACAGTACTGGAGGTATGTGTTGTCCCCATAGGCCAGTGTTTTTCAACAGATGCCAGGGAACCTGGTCTGAAGAAGTGAGGAATACAATGGAAGGTCTGTAGAGGTCCTGAACACTAAGATGCTGTTAGGATCATAGCTTACAGTAGCAGTTCAGACTACAGGCAAAACATCTCAATAGGTGACTGACTGCATATTCAAACAGAGTACTTAAGTAGGACAAGAATCTCCCAGTATAATAGCTATCATATCCAGCTACAAGGAAAACTCATTAATCATACCAACAGGGAAGCCACAATCAAGACCATTATTAGTCTTAAATTAGTATCCAGTAAAGCCAATATGATGAGAAATATAACTGCTAATTCCAAGAGCAACATCAATGACAAAAGAAAATTCATGAAGAAGAAACAATGATTCTTAATATATATGCACTGAGCAACAGAGTCTCAAAATTCGTGACACAAAAATTTAACAGCTCAAAGGAAAAACATACAAATTTATGTAGATTTCACTGTCTCCAGCCCCAAAACTCACTAACTATTAAGCAAAAGATAGAAACCATGAGAAAACAAACTAATAGGATTTACTTTATGCATTCTACTCAATGGCATCAGAACAAACTTTCAGTAATTCCCATAGAATGGTTACCAAACTAAATAAATACATTCTCAGCCACAAAGTCAGGTTCATGAAACTCACCAAAACTGATCATGCAGAAAGTATGTTTAAAACACAATAGAACCAAAATGTAGATGAAAAAAAAGAAAAAAAACACATTAGTGAAGTTCCCCAAATTTACAAGTTACATAATATATTTCTAAATAGCACAGGGGTTGAAGACTGATTCTCAAATATAGGAAAAAAATGCATAAAACTGAGTAAAATGAAGTCCAGTCTGTTAAGATGTGAGCTGCTAAAGATGAGGAAACTTAAAAATTTGATCATTGTGCTAGAAATGAGGGAAAGTGCTAAGATCAAAGCAGCAGCAGCCTAAGTTACATCTCCCCAAGTTAGAGGAGGCACAAAATAAATTCAACACTAATAAAGGGAGGAAGAGAGTTGATCTCAGAGAAGACATTAATGAAACTGAGAGCAGGAAAGTGATGGGCAAATCTGTGAAGCACAGGGGTATTAACATGAAAAGAATCAGTCCAATTAATGAGCATCTAATAATAAGAGAGAGGAAACACAGCGCCAGTACCAGGGGTGACTGGTGGCTCTTGGCACAGAATCTGTGGTCATCAACTTCATTATCATTTCCCTTGTTATCTTGTTGTAACTTCAGATTATGTACCAATGACCTACAGAAAATTGGCTGGTTCTTCAAACACAAACACCCCAAATATAGCAATAATGAAATCGATGGTTCTAGTAACCATCTATTTAATGATGTTCCTAGTCTCTTCCAGGGCCTGGGAGGAAGGAAGCCCCTCTCACTCAGCTTGGGAGACTGATCTTACCCCGATGTATAATATGATACCAAGACAAGGGACTCTCATACCCTTAGTATAAAATTCCTCAATTAAAATATTACCATTCAGATCTTTCAGTGTATAATATAAAAAAGAATATCATCAATATAAGGGATTTACTCTAAGTATGCAAATATTTTCATATTTGAAGATCAATCAATCCAAACTGACACATCAGGAGCCTAAAAAGAAAATCATATCAGTTGATTTAGAAAAGACGTGATTAATACAGCACCTCTTGTACAGAATGGATTTCCATTCCTTAATTACTGTCTACAACCTTTGATGTGACTGTGTTTTCATACAGGATCTTTAAAGAGCCATTTAAGTTAAAATAAGGTCATTAGGATGATGTGAATCCAATCTGGCCAATGTCCTTAGGAAGATGGAAAACCATGCAATTACCCACAGGAGGAAGATACCCTGAGGAGATCGAGAGAAGACAAGATGAGCGTTGATGAGGCTACAGAAGAAGACTTGGGAGACCATTGCTGGCCCATCCTTCTGAGACTGATTGCCTGCAGAATTTGAGAAAATTACACACCTTTATTTAAGCTCTCCAACTCATATGAAATTCTAAGTTTCAGTGAACTGCTGTAGAACTAGTTCAAGACAAACTATCTCAACAGAGGAGACACGGAGGGCATCTTCTTCAACTTTATGTAAAATATGTACTCAGATACCTCAGACTACTCGTTGCTAGTCAGTGAAAGACCGCTTTTTCCCAGGACTCAAAACAAATCTCTCACCACTGTATTCACCATGGGCTTCATTTTGGTGCACCTGTAGAGTCAAGTCTTATCCAGTGACAAAGAAGTAGGCTGCCAACCCAAAGAAGCAAACACCCCGAGAGTACACCATCCAGTGAATGCACTGTATTTAAGAAGGCCAGTAAAGAGGCTTCCTGCTGTGGGATTCTAGCTGCTTGTCCTTGTGACAAGATTACAGAACAAATACAAAGATGCCTGGGCCACAGGGTTTAGAAAGGAGAGAAGGTCCGGGTGGTTGGGGCACATGCCTTTAATCCCAGCACTCAGGAGGCAGAGGCAGGTGGATCTTTGTGGCTCGAGACCAGCCTGGTCTATAGAGCGAGTTCCAGGACAGGATCCAAAGCTACACAGAGAAACCTTGTCTCAAAAAAATAAATAAATAAATAAATAAATAAATAAATAAGGAGAGAAGGATGAGCAGGCAGAGTATGGGTTCTCTGTAACACAATACAACTCCAATGTATGGTATCAGAATGGTGGATACCTGCTACTTATCATCAAAGTCCATTATATATGTATCCTGTAATTTTTCTCTATCTCAGTGGTAGTGATCAGCATATCACTACTATAACAAAATACACCAAGATAATTAATTTTAAAACATAAAGGGTTTATTTGGACTGATGGCTTTAAACCAATGATTTGGAGCTCTCTGGTGGGGCTGACAGCTTCTAGTGGCAAATCAAACTGCTTACATTTTGTCTAGAAAGTGAAATGAAGGAAAAATAAAGTGGTGAAAGTCCTAACGAGCCCTTTAAAGTCACATTCCAGGGCCCTGTGGTCCTCTCCTAGATCCTTTGGCCAGAAGTTTCACAAGTTCCACCATGTAACCAAGAGGTTCAGGGGATTAAACACCCAGAGTGTAGCTATGTATAAATATTCACTCATCAAGCATAACAAATGTACCAAATATCTAAAGAATATTACCAATAGATGGAACTGGAATCAATAAATGTTGGGAGAAGTCACTTGTTTGTCCCAGCCGTCTGGCTAGCTTGGACCTGAAATAATCACACAGAAACTGTATTAATTGAAACACTGCTTGACCCATTAGCTCTAACTTCTTATTCACTAACTCTTGACTATTAATTTAACCCATCTCCATTAATTTGTGTATCACCACGAGGTCGTGGCCTACCAGCAAAATTTCAGCACGTCTATCTCCAGTGGCAGATGCATAGTGTCTCTCTGACTCTGCCTTCTTCCTTCCAGCATTTGGTTTAGTTTTCCCCACCTAGCTCTGTTCCCCTATAGCTCTACTATAGACCCAAAGCAGTTCCTTTATTCATTAACCAATAAAAGCAACACATAGACAGAAGGGCCTCCTACATCAGATAAAGGAGCAGAAGAGAGCTCAAGACATTCTGCTGTTTTTTTCCTATAACACAGTTTCCCAAAGCATTATTTTTTAAAAAGTCGGTTTTATAAGGTTGCATTCTTTATGGTTCTAATTCTTTTGCATTCTAGAAATGATAAAAGTATATATAGAATTGCACGGGGGGGGGGGGAAAATCTGGTGAAGGGATAAATGTTATATAAATATGAATTCCTTGTTGGAAAATTGTGTTGTGGCCAAGCAAGGACCAGCAGGGTAATACAGAGAAGGGGTCAGAGTGCCTTATTCTACGTTCTCTTGCAACTGCTAGAATTTAAAAGTATTGCAAAATACAAAATTAACTTAAGGGCCTAAATTTATTGTTTACGGGAAGTTGTTGTCTTACTTAATCTTTCATATTACCCCTTTCTCTTTCAGTCTGTCCATATCGATGCCACTTTATACACAGACAGTGACCTCCATGTGAGTATGGTTTTCAGAATTGCTGTATTCCAGTTATCCCATAAAGTCACTGAAATAGTTACAATTCTAAAATCTAACTCACAATGGGTTCTCAGAGTGTTTGACCCATGACATTTCTAAGGGATCATTGAATTTGGGACAAAGAGCTACATAAATGCTACTTTTGTAATGGTGCCAAATCAAAATGAAAAAAAAAAAAAAACCTTTCCATCAATGTCAAACAAAATCTTCTGTTTGTTTCTGTGATGCAGTTAGGTAAGCATAGGATTAGATGCTAGAATTACGCTAAATAATTCAATCTAAATGTCTCCACGGTACCATTATTCCTAGAGCTGTAGTATGTTACCAAGTTGAATAACGTCTACTGCAGCTTGCTTGAGGGTATCCATGTTGTGTGCTTTGTATGAATCTCTACACTTGTAAGAAGTCCTTTCCTTATTTTCTGTGTGATAAAAACGTAATTGAAATAATGTACTAGAACTTATAAATGACAATTAGCTTTATTAGAATGATGGTTGTTGGCGGTTTGTCATGTGGTTCCTTCTTTCACTCTAGACTGTCCCTAAAGCCAAGGGATAGATCTGAATGCCACTGCTTGGAATATGTGAAGGTGAATTTATTTCAAAATGTTAACAAGTCACAATTTAAAGTAGCCTCATAAGAATATCAATGAGTTTTGCCTGAGGGTATGTCTATGGGCTGTTTTTCTTAATCTGGTTGACTGTTGTAAGAAGATCCACTCCTAATGTAGTTAGTACCACTTCACTGCTGTAGGAAATCCTACAGCCAGTAGCCTTTGAGTTACCCACCCATTTGGGCGTGGCCTCTTACAGGCTGCTGGCTGTCGGATTTCCTACAGCGTGTCACCTGCTGGACACTGGACTGAGGGCAGAGAAGACCAGATGGGCACATCAGCAGCATCTCTGCCGCTCAGAACTGACCACTTAAGCTCCTCATGCCTTGGCCTTCCTGCTGACAGACCATAACTTGGATTTGTGAGCAGGAAAGACATCCTTTCAACCTGAAGTTTTTCTTTATCAAAGTATTTTATCATAGTGACAGAGACAGAAGTGAAACTGAAACCCAAATCAAACTGCCTACTGTGTGTTCAAAACTAAACTGTCTGCTATGTGTTCAAAATTGTCAAGTGCAACTTCTCGGAGGTGGAAGGTTTGTGTACCCTGCTCTTGGTGTGTTGAGGAGAAGGTGGAGTCTGGAACTCAAACAATTAGATATTTACCAGACAAATGGGTGACCCCCTCTTCTGATTTTAAAGTGTATTTTTCTGGTTTTCTCTGCTTTTTTTCTTTTTCTTTTTTTTCCCTGATCATATAGCCCTCAATGGACTATTCTAGCTATACTTTAGATTCAGGCACATCCTAGTATAGATCACTGTTGAATCCCATTAAGTGTTTTCCTTTCTTTAGTTTTATTTATTTATTTATTTATTTATTTATTTATTTATTTATTCATTCATTCATTCATTCATTTCATTTAGGGTTTGTAAAGTAACTGTTACAGGAAATATATTTTCTTGTTGCTCACAGTCCCTTTCTGGATTGGCCAGCCCACGAGTGGGTACTGCCTTTGCTTTGGTTTTATTTTTATCCCCCTTGAGTTTCTTGGAATTCGTTCTGCAGGGAACTGTCGGGAGAGATGACTGGCAGTTATCTCTCCTTCAAATGTGAGCACACAGTCTGACCCTCAATGTTTCCACAGATGCCCTGTCACTCCTAGACTGCTGTGTCACCCCCAGAGAGCAAGAGGCATGCCCAGTGAGGAATGGTGGCCTTTGACGCCTGTTTTCTTCTGTACAATAGTGCCACCCTTCTGTATTGTTGTTGGTTTTAGTTTTGATTTTAAAATCAAGTGGAAGAAAAGTAGCTTCCTACATAAACAAAATCCTTTAGTAGTACATAGACAGAAGACAACCGGGGAAGCAAGTCTTTATTTGGCTTACAGTTCCAAGTTATCATTTGTAATTATGGGAAATCAGGTCAGGAACTGAAAGCATCCAATTAACAGACAAGAACAGAGGCAGGAGAACTTGCTTGCTTGCTTGCTGTTAGCTAACTCTCTTCACTGTAGCAACACTCAGGACCTCCTGCATAGGGAATGGTTTCGCCTACAGTCATTTGGGTCTGTAACCTGTAGATAATTCCTCATTAAGACAGTCTTCTAGGTTGTGTCGGGTTGACAGTTAAAACTAAGTAGTATGGTGATTATGTTTCTTTGTAAGATAACGAGATGAGATTGATTTTTTTAAAGTTTTATGAATGTCAAAATCAAAAATGGGAAAATTATTTTGCTTGTTTGTTTCAAACTGGCTCTTTGCAATTCTTATTTTTTAGCCCAGTTGCAAAGTTACTGCAATGAATTGCTTTCTGCTGGAGTTACGGGTTATTTTACACGAGTACAGTAATGTGGACCTTAACGGAACAATAGAGAACGTGATGTTACTAGCAAACAGCTCTCTGTCTTCTAACAAGGTGAGCTATCCACCCGCCATAGTGAGCTGCATCTGATGGTTTGGGATCATTTGGAATAAGGCATTCATACGTAAGCGGATTCTCCTATGGGGACCACAGGAAAGAATCTGATTCCAGCGCAGTGGCCTTCAGAAGTGGAGTCAGAGCTGCCATGCACAGAATCCCAAGTTCGTTGATTCTGTTGGTAAGCAGGCATGTTTGAGTAGTTGCAGCCAGTGTGCTTTAGAGCGAGAGTCGTGCTGGAAAGGCAGGCAGGTGCGTGGGTGCAGTGGGGAGACGTCAGTGCAGTCAAGTGTTTAACATCAGAAATGGTAGCTCACATTTACTGGGTTAGTTCTTAGCGTCACTACTCTGTAGTCTTTAGATTGATAAGGCACGAAATCCTCAGGGTCAGTCTTTGAGAGTAATCTCACATTTATTTTTCATATGTAGCTGTCTTTTACGTCTGTTTGAATGTGGATGCGCTCAGAACACCCCGTACCAACTACAGGTCCCAACTTGTGCAGCTAATGGCATAAGAGCTGTGGCTCTGCTCCAGCTTCTGGCTTCTCACCTTCTAAAGTAGTAAATAATGAAAACTCATAATAATCAAAAGTGTTCATGAGTCAAGTGTTCTTTGGAGCATCCTGGACAGCATGAGCAGGGAAGGCCATGAGAAGCAAATACTACTCACTCCCGTGGTCGGCTGAGGGGTGCGCTGCACAAATGTCCTCAAGTGCATGGAATTAATCGTGGCTTGAATGGCACAACCATAGGGTGAAACAAGGTGAAACCAAGAAACTGTCATCAGAGCATGCGCAGAGAAATTATTTCATCTAGTAAGTACTTCAGCACACTGGGCTAAAGCCTGGAGTCCTGATTATGAAGGAAGGAGCCAAGTGAATTAGTCACTCAGCAAATGAGTGAACCAGCCAGTTGGTCATTTAAGTACAGTGTAGCAAGAGAGGAAGCATGTGTGTATAGGGGAACTAGGGTTCTGGTGTAGGGAAGGGCTAGCCAATAGGCTGGTATGTTACACAGAGCTTCAGGAATGAGTGCCGTTGGCCCTCAGGGAGCATCTTTAGGCAGATACAACTGGACACACAATGATATGGAGATGCTTTGCTTCTCCTCCCAAATGCTGGGCTGCCTTTAGTGTCTGCTCAGAGGTCACCTTCTCATTGATGTCAGCTATTCGCATGTGCCATGCTTTCTCCACGCCATCACCCTCTCTCCCTTCCCTACGCCTCCCACACTCTGAAAATCATGTAATTGTCTGTTAGTCAGCTTCAGAGCATATACGCTTTCTGGGTTTTTGGATGTTTGATTACGATTCTCAAAGCATACAGTTCTTACAGATGTTCATCTCTCGGGATACTTACCAAGTGACTCTCTTCGTGGTTAAACTACTCCTGTGATATGTTATTACCATTTATTAATGGTGGGAAAGTCAGAAGGTAACTAGGGCAGTCTGAGTGTTGAGCTTTAGGCTGCATGTTGGTACCACTCCCAAGGTGACAGCTTGGCATATGTCCTGGAAAAGTGAACAGGACTGCATGCTTGGGAGACCCTGTGCAGAATTTCAGCTTACAGTGTCTGTGAGGATCTTTGCTTCGCCTCCGACATGGTTCACAGGACCAAGTCCAGAGCAATAGAAGCCTATGACAATGTCTGGCATACAGTCTATGCCTGATGAATATTGGGGAATCTGATCCCTAAGAGCCTAATGGATATGAAACCTAATTTTGATTTTTGCTGGCACAGTCTTCACAATTCAGAAGATCTCTAAAAATATTTATTCATGATTGATACACTTGTAATGTTCTAGTTGTCCCCGAAGCTGTGTTAATGGCATTTGCCTAAGTGGTTCAGATTATCCAATAATATTCAGTTAGCTATTTGTACTAGGCCTTGTGCTTACTGATGGGAAACAAAAATATATGGTTATCCTTTCTAGGAATGGTTAGAGAACAGTAATATAAAAATACTAAAAGTCTGTGATTATATATATATATATATGTGTGTGTGTGTGTATACATATAGTCTATATATACACATTGTATATATGTACATATATATGGAGTATAAAGGCAAGTACTCTCTTGGTGTCTCAAGGTCAAGGTCATGGCATTCAAGGCCATTGAAAGATGAGCTAGGTAAGGACACGTCACAAAGGCCATGGAGCATTCAGGGAAGTATGGGCTTCAAGATAGAAACAAGTAATCCACTGATGGGCTTTAAGCAGGAAGAGCGCAGTCTAACACAAATGGCCTATTCACTTGCAGAGTTCTTAACCCAACGCTGGTAAAACCAACCTCTATCAAATCTCTTGATTCTTTCTCATAGCTGCTCTTAACTTCACATTAGTTTGACAATGTCTTCATGTCTGAAGACCCCCCACCATGTGTTTCAAAGAGTATAATAACCCCAACAAAGCAATGCGTTCTGCTTGCCAATCTAATTCTTCCTTCTTGATTGCAGAATATAACAGAATATGGCTGCAAGGAATGTGAAGAACTGGAGGAGAAAAGCTTCAAAGAGTTTTTGCAGAGTTTTAAAAGCATCGTCCAAATGTTCATCAACACTTCGTGATTGTCGCTGATGCTCTCCAGGGTTTCTGTTATTACCACGCTGCTGCCTGCTGTGCAGAGGCAGCGCCGCTCTGTGCCTATGAGATCCGCTGTGGAAACAAAGCTGCCGAAGCAGCGGCCGATGAACCACTCGGATCAGATGAACTCCGGGAGACCACCGGAGGAAAGGAACTCTTCTCAGGCGTCTTTTGCTCCTTTTTAATTTATTACTGCGCTTGTACATATTTGTAATATAACAGAAGATGTGGAATAAAGCTCTTTATATGCCCTATCGATTTAGTTTTAACTTTTACTTCACCTTTTATGATTAGTTTGTCTTTGGCTGCATGTGCCGATTGTGTGTGTGTATGGTTGTCTGTGTGCGTCAGGCAGTGCACACATGTGCAAGTGTGTGGCAGCTGGAGGTTGACCTCTGGTGCCTTGCTCATTTTCTACCTTGTTTTTGGTTTTGTTTTTTTGTTTTTAAGGCTGTGTCTCTTCCTTGACCTGGAGCTCAGTAGTTCAGTCAGACTAACTGGCCAGTGAACCCAGAGATCCTCCTGTTTTTATGCCCTCAAAAGTGGGGTTACAGGCAGCTGCCACATACCCAACATTTTACATGGGACCTGCTGATCTGAACCCGGATCGTCATGCTTGCGTGGCAAACGCTTGCCCCGTTGAGGCAACTCTCTACTCTCTATCTGTTGCAGAAAATTAAGGGTCATGTTTGTTTGTTTGAGGGTGATCGTCCTTCAAGGAAAGTGCACAAGGGGACACAGAACGCCGATGTTTACAGTAGTGTATCCCTTTTCCCAAAGAGTGCTATTTTATTCTCACAATTTTTAAAGCTCTACTTGTTGAATTTTTAAAAAGTGCTGATTTGTTGGATGCAGTTGCTCATAGGTTCTGGGGAGATGGCTCAGGGGTAAGAATATTTCCTGAACAGGCAAGAGGATCCAAGTTTGCGTTCCCAGCATCCTTGGGAAACTGATCATGGCCATGCCGACCCTGCGCCGTGTGGAGGAACAGGAGGACTAGGACTTGCGGGCCACCAGTTTAGCGACAGATACAGTGCAGTACACTGTCTTAAGATGATCTGGAGACCCTCTTTCCCTACCACCTGTGGTTGCATGAGGGAGCTACCCTCCCCTTTATCAGCTACAGCACTCGAAAAACTGCACCCTACACCTTGCCTGGGCAGCACAATACAATGCTGCCTATGTTTGCAGAGGCATGGGTGGGTGAGCTGGCCCTCAGGGTGTGAGACTGGGATAGTTGGCCTCATCTCCCTCATCTGCCATGTGGGGGTGAGGGCAAGGGAAAGATATCCTACCCCCCTTGCCCCTGCCACCTGTAGTGGGCAAGGGAGTTGACCCTTTCCCTTACCAGCTGCAGCACTGGGGAAAGTGGATCCTGCATCTCACGTGGGCAGCACAGTAGAGCTCTGATGGTCCAGCTGTGGAAGAGTCAGCTCTATGGGTGTGAAAGCAGACCCGGCCCCATTCCTTGCTTATTGCAACAAGAGCGGAACTAGCTGAGGTAATGCTGGAGAGCTCACCCTGGTGGTGAGAAAGGAGGAAAGCTGGTAGGCAGACCAACGTTGCAATTATTCTGGCCCAGTACCAGATTTACATGTTGGCCCATCCCAACATTCACACCATCTACGATCTGTGGGAGCACGTGAAGGGGCTAGTCCTGAAGACCCAAAGCTGCAGAATCTTCATGTCATAGGGCAATTACAGGTTATCCAAGAGGTGTGAGTTCCTTAATGAGAGTTAAGCATCAGTGTTGTAGCAGAAACCAGAGGTCTCGATCAGACCAATGAACCCTTGCACCTAAAGATAGATGGGCAAAAGGGTTTACTGTGTGGCTCACTGTGTCACGCTACAGCTTCCATGACTAGAGGTTTCTCCTATTTTTCTGTTTTCTTTTTTTCTCTTAATTTTTATTTTAATTTGGGGGTGCTATAGTGGCAGAGGGAGGATACAGAAAGACAGGGAAATGAATGGAATTGAGGTGCATGATGTGAAATACACAAAGAATAAATAAAAAGAAAGAGGAACGTGGAGGAGAGGGTTAGAGGAGGTATCCACACACGTGTATATCAACATGCGATCAACACTCACGTGTGACTTAAGAGTAATATATTTTTATGATTCTTACCTTAATAATTTTTCATCTTACGTGGCTAAAATTACTAAGTTTTCTAGCATCTCTATTGCTAAAAAGTAGGGAAAATGTGCCATTTTTAGCTTTAATTTTCTAGTCTTATTGTTAAGAGAAGTTGGTCCCCATCCAGTATTTATTCGTCCGAGGAAAGGGAGATCAGGACGACAGTCACATTACTATGGTGTTTCATAGTGACTAATAATCCACTTGCATTGTATAAACAAATGCATGATAGTTTCAAATTTTGGAATGTTCCAGTACTCAAAGTTACTGTCTCTGTAATGTCACAGGACACAGCCAGTTTTAGAAAACTCAGGTCTATGCGTCTTCAAATCCTTTAACTTGTTACAAAAGATGAAATGATCACATACAGCATCTTCTAGTAAGAGACTGAGTGATCGTGCGCCATCATCCAAATTTAGCTTTATGTGTTTCTGCTCTTGAAGCCAATCCTTTGTCTCTATGTCAAAGTCCACGCCCTCTTCCCTCTCCCACAGGCCAGCCAGTGTTGTTTTCCTGGGAATGCCTTGCTTGCTTCTCACCTGTTGCACTAATTGCTTACTTATCATATTACCTATAATGAAAATTGTATGTATAGCACAAAATCACATATATAATGGCAAGTGGACAAGGTAAACCAAATAAAAATGAGATTGATAGACCAACATCCGTTGACAGGTATCTTTTTTTTTTTTACCATCACCAATATTTTATTACTGTTCCATCTCTATTTCTTTTTTTTCTGATTAAAGTATTTTTATTTTATTTTAATTTATTTGTTTATTAAAGATTTCTGTCTCTTCCCCGCCACCGCCTCCCATTTCCCTCCCCCTCCCCGAGTCAAGTGCCCCTCCCTCGTCAGCCCAAAGAGCAATCAGGGTTCTCTGCCCTGTGGGAAGTCCAAGGACCACCCACCTCCAACCAGTTCTAGTAAGGTGAGCATCCAAACTGCCTAGGCTCCAACCAAGCCAGTATGTGCAGTAGAATCAAAAACCCATTGCCATTGATCTTGAGTTCTCAGTAGTCCTCAGGGTTGGGAAAAGGTGTTTCTTCTTGCTTTTTTAATTATTATTTCAAGTAAAGAAAAGATGTATAAGAGGATATTATCTGTGCATTCTCTCTGGCAATAAAGCAAAAGGACTATAAGATGGGGACATGGAAACACAAGCAGAACTAATAAGTAATTTGTGAGCCAAGAGAATTCTATAACCCAATTACAAGTCTAGTTTTATATAATCTCATTCTTTATCCGGGACGAGCGAATCGATAGAATTACCTGCTTCTGCTGTTGTTGCTGTAGTTGTAAAGAGGGAATCGCATGTTTTGATGCTGTAGTAGATGGCTTCCAAATTCAATAACTTATAAAAATCAAACCAACATACGCAAAATGAAAACAAAGTAATGCGTTGTAGCTCCTTTCTGTCCCCAAGCAACAAGAAATCCTATAGAGTATATTCCTCTTCCTTCTCTTCTGTGAGTTCGTATCATGACTGAAGCCATCTGCACTCACAGGCAAATCACGCTCAACATATGCCTGCAACGGGTAAATATTTTGCCCAGAGGAAATTCCATTTCCACGGAGATTTGGTTCAATATTCCTGAATGTGTCTAGTGACTGAATTGTGCCCCCCTTAAGGAATGTGTTATGTACGGTGCTTAGCTGTGTGAAGGGCCCCTTGGTCCTAATTGTGGACTCTACCTGACACAACATAGAAGAAAAATTAATAAAACAGAGGTGTGCTTTTGTTCTATAATTTTGTTCTTCAACAATGAATTTTGAAATAGGAATTAAAGGAATGGAGGAGATGATTATAACACAGAAGCAAACTTGAAAACTGCTACATTTAGCCTTTGGAAACAATGTCAGACTTTTTTGACTATTGTGAAATGCACCACCCCTGCCAAATCGTTTGCCTTCATTGTTGTGATCACCTCTTGTGACTAAGAATTCGCCATGTCAGACTTACAGAAGCCTTAGCTATTGGAGATCTACTCTGGGTGACTGTTTTGATAGATGCTCTAAGAAAGCCGCAGCTTTGGCCTTCAGGAGCAACCAACAGAAGCAGCTCAATACCAAACCCATCATCCGAGGTCTTATTTGATCTCCATCGGTTTTATGAAGGTCATGAGGGAGGATCAGGGTCATTCAAGGTGCCCTTTCAAAGAGAGTCTCTTGGGCAAAAGTGACAGGTGAGCTGAGCCATCAGGGAGTGGGGCCTGAGCTAGAGGAGAGGGCAACAGTGGCAGCGATCCAGTCAGCAAAGACGGGGTGTTCTCAGGGCAAAAGAAAATCTGGAATGGCCAGGATGGCAAAAGACTGAAAGGAAGGTGTGGTAGTGGAGGGGTTAGCCGGCTCTGTGGGCTGCACTAAAAACTTTCCAGTCTGTTCTAGAGAAAGAAGTGTCACATTGTAGCACAAAAACTTGATGTATTCTTATGTTGAAAGAAAGATTACTTTATGTCCATGTCTCCTTTAAATCAATGTCTCCTTACAGATAAATACTAAGTTCCTAAAATGCATTCCTGTCTGAGAGTGCCATCTCTATCATTTGATGAGTTCTTGAAGCGCTGAATGGACTATACAGTTAAGTAATCACTCAATGTGACAGCCCTGTAGCCAGCATATGGGTCTTGCAAGCCGCAGGGACATCCGTACAAGTGGATCACGGGACTAGTTCTCCAGCCTCAGAAAAGGTCTGTGGAAAAATCTTGAGACAAAGAAGGCTTTTTGAAATGAAGATTTTTCTAAATTGCCCTTCGCTGGAAAACTGTTTGGGAAGCTAATTGTTCTTGTTGAGATAAACCAAGTAGAGGAAGTCCCATGGAATGGCAGCTAGGAAGAGTTGAAATGAGAAGTGGGAAGGGGGTGATGGGCCTGGGCAGAGAGAGAGAACGTCTGAAGTAGAATTAGGAGCAGGTAACGTGGGGGACAGCTACAACAAGGCTCAGCAGAAGTAGAACGTGATGGGCTTGAGGGGAGGAAGGCAAAACCAGTCTCTCAATATGTGACGGCAAAGCTCCTAGCTGGGGACAGGGGATGCTAGAGCAGAAATGGTTCTATTTGACAGGCACCATCCTTCTCAAAGGATTGAAAGATCACTGGCCTTCAGCCAAGCCCAGTTT